AGGGTTGTGAAATTAAGGCGCCTTGCAAATAGCATTTTCGGTGCGGATAAAAGTTAGAAATTTAAGAGTGTGCGAACGAGGATATGGTTTGTCCCATGAGCGTTAGCAGTTTCGGTGCAACGTCGATAATCAAAAAGGGATGACTGGCTTCTATCTCCAACAAAAGCATGCCTTATACATGTAGCCAGACCTAGTTGTCCCGTAATTAGAACTCCAGATGAATAAGTTTGTACGGCACATCAGTTACTGACAGAAAATAAAAGGCGCCACTGAAACGCCGACTTTAGGTATCCATGACATTCGTAACTTTTGAAAAGTGTATTTATGTCATCGTCCCCCTCCAGCCTGCCTCTAAGGTTTTGTCATTAGGACAATTGACTAAATAGACAGCCAAGTGTAACAATACAACACGTATTAGAGCCCACTGGTAATTGCGACAAGATGGAGGCAGCTAAAGGTGCGTGGGCAAAACTACAGTGAAACTGTATCTAACAGATACCAGCTCAATCGAGATCGGTGTCGTCCACTAAAAAACGCGTACAAAAACAATTGAGCAATCCCCTTGTTATCGATATTACAAGTACAACACACGCGTACTAGCCACACATTTTTAAGACAAACGACCATTGATATTTTACAGTTAAAAAGTCCGCTTTTAGTGTTACCCTTCCACAAGTTATTTTTGATCGGTGCAGAAGCAAATGCTTCAAGATATATGCAACAATATAAGACAAAGCAAAACTAACTTTTCAGAAAATGCAAAATGAGTGTGAAGAGTTTAAAAGACGGCAAGGCGGATGAGAGCCTTAGTCTAAGTGGAATATTAATAACTCATAATTTGGGTAAACATATGGGTCAGTGAAATTATCAGTTAGATTTGCCCAAACTGAATTACCTGCTCTCCTCAGTAATACACGCCGCTTCTTGACAGGCAAAGGTTGAAGAAAGTAATAATCCTCAATGCTCTCGAGAAAACTGAGATCTTCATGGTCGTCCTCTTTTGACGTGGCTTCAGAAGACGCATCATACTGCGGAGAATCTTGTAATCGTCGTTTGAGTGAGTGATCCACCTCTTCCAACGAGGCGTTCTGCTTGACCTCAAAGGTCACACTCGGCTGTGGTGGGGAACTAGTTCGTATTCCAAAACAAGTATCTTCAATGGCATTTGAAATGCAATTTTCTCTGGTTTCGTTATTGTGCAAATAGTCGGATGGTAACACAGCATCAACAGGAGACTGGACGACTTCATTAAGCTGAGCATGCTTTGCTCTTTCCACTTTTCTTTCTAGCATGCGGAAGTGCTGAAGTGAGAGCAACAGTTTGCCATCCAAACAAAATCGAAGAAGAGCAGCATTCCGCTGCTGGCGTCGGTGTCTTTGGTGTTCGTTTACGGTAAAAATTTCTTTAACAAAGTGTTTCGTAGCCATTCCAAGAGTGGAGCCTCCTTGACTAGGTACACAGGTGAAGCCCTGTAGGCGATCAAAGTGATAGAGGTCTACACAACTGAAAGTGACTTTTTTGGAAAAATTTGGTCGTACAAGGTTGGCTGGAAGTGAATGTCGACGAAGGATTGATGCAACTGGAATATTTCC